TAAGGTCCTTAGGTGGTACAAATGGTTTGTATTCGACTGCTTCCCTAAACGTTGGCAGTTTGAACCCACCTAGTATCGTGATGGAAGTGATAATCTGCTGGAGATGTGCTTCAGGGATTAGAACCAAGACAACTCTACGGTGTGGTTCTGTTCTATAACACATGAGAGTTGACTCTTGCAGCACTGGCTTTGGTTTGGTATACCTTGTCCAGCTTTTGTTCATTCTTTATTTACTTAGTGAGTCATACTATATTTTCTCTTTGTTTTCTAGTGGCAGAATGAGAAATTTGGAAAAAAACACGTTTACAAAAGAAGCTTTAGCTTTGGGTTGGCAGTATTTTTTACCTCCATATACCTTCCATATCAGAGTTGGTGCTTTGTATCTTCTGTACGGATTATATAACACCCAACTGTGCCAACCAAAACAAAAGGTAATACTTGGTGAATTGTTTCCTTGGCAGAAATGTGAAACAGGTACAATATTTTTATGACAAACTGATTTAAATAGAAATGTCAGTGTTTTAATATTACAATACATGGGTTAAAAAATTACATTCGGTACAACTTTTTCACTCTTCCCGGTTGCAGATTAGAGTGGCCCTAAAGGATTGGGATGAAGTTTTAAAATTTCAACAAGATTTGATAAATGCACAACATTTTGATGCAGCTTATATTTTTAGGAAGCTTCGACTGGACAGAGCATTTCACTTTACTGCAATGCCCAAATTGGTATGTTACCAAAATGGATTGTTTTTTAAAATGAGAAATTATGCCTTATTATTCATAAAATATCGCAATCTCCCCAAAATTGAAAGATTATTATATATTCTTATACCATTAGAAAGCTTTCTTAAAATAGAAATATTTTTTAAAATAAGACTTTCTAAAAATGTCTTCTGATTACTTTTTTCAGAAATGAAAATTCAGCCTCTACTGTTATACACAGTGTGTTCTAGATACCATGTGTTAAGTGGATTGGTATGAGGAAATTATAGTCAGCGTCTGAATTTGCCTCATGCCTTTATTCAAACATCAGAGAGGTAAATGATGAAAGAGGACCAAGGAATTATATTGTCAGCTGATGTTAAGTTAGAACTTTGACTAATAGTAGTTCTTTAATCTCATGACAGTTGAGACTGTCTTGTATAGTTGCAAGAGCACTAGATTGACTGCTAGCTGACAAGTATGCAACTTATCTGAAGCTACAAGGATGTGGCATGACATTTTAAGGGATATTTCAGAAGTCTAATAAATTGTTGTTGTTGTTAAGTGCCGTCGAGTCGTTTCCGACTCATAGCGACCCCATGCACAGCAGAACGAAACACTGCCCGATCCCGCACCAGC